GCGTAGAGCTGCAGGCTCTCCCAAGTAGCCCCATTTAGACCCAGTGTAAGGGCCCAGCATAGTCCCGGAGCATCTCAATCGAGATAGGTATCCGCGATGTATACGATGTGTTGTTGGCCCGGAAGCCGTCAGCGCGACGCGTTAGTGAGACATCAGAGACGGCATAGGATATGCGGCATTTGTGACAGGCTTGCGCGCATGGCTATATATACGGCGGCCGGTTGCTCGGATGGCTAGTAGGCGCGGAATGAGGGGTTGCTATCGAGGTAATACGCGCAGGGCTGATTAGGGCTGCCTGCACTGAGTTTTGTTGGTTGCGGCTGCCCTGATGCCTTGCGGTGGGTTTCGGGTGGAGATGGAAGACAGTTCTCGGCTCTGACTATTCGCGGCTGAGTCGCGCGTAGATGCAGCAACTGGCAGCAGGCGGTATTTGCTTTTGGCCGTCTTGTCTTGGGCCATGCATAGAAGTCGAGCATAGTCGTCGATCACACATGGGACAGGCACATCCAGAGGGCCCAGCCGCAAGTTCCGGCAGGCGCTGCTCCTATCGACGCCGCAAGAGACACATTGCGGGCCTGCCCTCCTTCAGCTGGCTGCGCGTGCACATGTACCGACACTAAGGTATGCGGCGGCCCCCAAGCTTAATTCAATTCACTCTTGACCTGGCCGTCGTCAGCACTCGCAGCGCGTCCTTGATTCTTCTACCCTCGTGATACTCCTGATATTGCATGCTCTGAGCCACGTTCTGCCAACCGCCGGCGCGACGTCAAGCACTCCCTAGGCACTTGGCTACCGCGGTCCGGCCAGCACGTTCCGATTGAACGCGTAGCCACGCCGGCGCCGGGTGCACCTAAACGTAGCCCACCATGCCGCGACCAGCCTTTACCAGCAAACTCTCGCTCCCCCATCGCCTCAAGCAGCAGTCGAGCTACACCAACGGCGCCAATTCTACCCCAACCTCAGTCCCCGCCAGCCGCAACGGCAGCCCCAAACTGCGCGCCATGAACGAGCAGCCCACGCCCGGCCTTGTCCTGAGGGCCAATGTCATCAAAGTGCGCCCGCCCACGCTTCCCCGCGGAGGAGCCCCAGCTAACAGCGACGCAGGGCAGAGACCTCGCTGCAAAGGACCGCAGCGGCACCTCGGACCCCGTGAGTCCTGCCCCGTCTGAACTGCTACCAAACTCCCGCTGACGTGCATGTCTGCAGTACCTCGTCCTCTCCCTCGGCGACGAGAAATTCACCACGCCCACGATAAACAAGCAGCTGAACCCGGAATGGAACGAGACGCTCGAACTGCCCATCGTCGGCGAGCAGAGCCTCCTGCTCGAGGTCGTCTGCTGGGACAAGGACCGCTTTGGGAAGGACTACATGGGCGAGTTTGACGTCATACTCGAGGAGCAGTTCCAGAACGGCCTCACCAAGCAGGAGCCGCAATGGTTCCCGCTGCAGTCGCGGCGCTCCGGCAAGAAGAAGTCTGTCGTCTCCGGCGAGATCCAGATCCAGTTTTCCCTCATCGACCCCCTCAACCTCGCCGCCACGCCCGAGCAGATCCTCCAGAAGTTCTACGCCATCGCTGGACAGACACCGAGCCCCGACGAAGACGACGAAGACCTCCTAGAGCGCGGCGACAGCAACCTCACCGATGCCGAAGACGACGAATCGAGCTCAGACGAGGCCCAGGACGAATCCAAGAAGGCCGAGAAGCGGGAGAAGCGGCGGAAGAAGCTCAAGCTGGCCAGGCTTAGGAGGAAGGTCAAGGGTAAGAAGGCCTACGAATACTCCAGTACGGGAGACATAGCTGGTGTGCTCTTCCTGGAGATCCAGAAGTGTACCGATCTGCCCCCACAGCGCAATGGTAAGTCTCCCCCACAGCGCGCTACTGCCTAAACTTACACATGAACAGTGACCAGAACCACCTTCGACATGGACCCCTTCGTCGTAACCTCCCTCGGAAAGAAGACGTACCGTACCAAGACCATCAGCCACAACCTCAACCCTGTCTTCGACGAGAAACTCATCTTCCAAGTCTTACGGCATGAGACCAACTACTCTGTCAACTTCACTGTCATCGATAAGGACAAGTTCTCGGGCAACGACTATGTCGGCACCGTCAATTTCCCAATCGAGAAGGCCGTTTCCACAGCCCCACAGGAAGACCCAGAGACGGGACTCTACAGGCTACCGGAGCCATCAGACTCTCCTGGTATCTCTCCTTCGGATTCGGGCAGTTCTAAGAAATCCCGCTTCCGCCTTCCCATCTCGCGTTCTGCTTCAACCAACAGTCTATCTCGTCTAGGCCGGCCGTCTCTGAAGAAGGAAACCTCGACAGGTTCACTATCTGCGCAAGAATCTAACACAGCTCTGGGTGCTCCGCCAAACGCTGCAGCCGACTCCAACGGCAATCTTGCTGTCGCTGGCGATGTCAACATCAACCCGTCCTCTGTAGACGATGAGGATTTGAAGATGTATACTCTCCCATTGGAGCTAAAGGACAAAGAGCGCTGGGGCAACAAGCACAACTCTACCCTCTATATTCGCGCAAAGTATCTCCCATACAAGGCCCTTCGACAGCAATTCTGGAGAGCTATGCTCAAGCAGTACGATGCCGATGAGAGTGGCCTGCTGGATAAAGTGGAACTGACCACCATGCTCGACACACTTGGCTCCACTCTGCATGAGTCGACCATCGACAGCTTTTTCGAGCGGTTCGCGGATGCTCACAATGGAGACCTTCTGCTTACGTTCGATGAAGCTGTCATCTGCCTCGAAGACCAGCTCCAGGCCACGGAGGCCAGAGATTCCCGAAAGAACGGTCTCGCATCGGGCACGCAGACTCCCTCGTTAGCATCCGGAATGCTCACACCTATCAACCAGGACAGCTCGACGACATCTATCCCAGTACTTGAAACAAACACACTAGGAAAGGAGGGCGAGGAAGGCGACAATATCCAGATTGATGATCTCGCAGACGAAAAGGGAGAAGAACATGTTATCGAGATCCGTGAATGTCCCATCTGCCATCAACCAAAGTTGAACAAGAGGTCCGATGCTAATATCATTACACACATTGCTACATGCGCGAGTCAAGATTGGAGACAAGTTAATAACATTGTCATGGCTGGATTTGTCACTTCGAGTCAGGCCCAGCGCAAGTGGTACTCCAAGGTTATTACCAAGATCTCATACGGCGGATACAAGCTAGGCGCAAATTCGGCCAACATCCTTGTCCAGGATCGCCTTACAGGGCAGATCAACGAAGAGCGTATGAGCGTGTACGTCCGTCTGGGTATTCGATTGCTGTACAAGGGCCTCAAATCGAACAGCATGGAGAAGAAGCGAAGTATGTCATCCGGATTTTGTTGATTCCATGTCGCATACTAATCTGATCGCAGTTCGCAAACTACTCAAGTCCCTCAGTTTCAAACAAGGAAGGAAGTATGACGATCCTGCTTCAGCCTCGGAAATCTTGCCCTTCATCAACTTCCATCAGCTTGACATGTCTGAGGTGTTGTTGCCAACAGACCAATTCAAGAACTTTAACGAGTTCTTCTACAGAGCATTGAAGCCTGGTGCGCGTCCGTGCTCTGCGCCAGACGATCCCAGGGTTATCGTCTCCCCCTCCGACTGCCGAACTGTGGTCTTCAACACGATCGACTCAGCACAGGCTATCTGGGTCAAGGGTCGCGACTTCACTGTCGAGCGGCTGCTTGGTGATGCATACCCTGAGGACGCAAAGCGCTACCACGGTGGTTCTCTTGGTATCTTCCGACTCGCACCGCAAGACTACCATCGATTCCACATTCCCGTTGACGGTGTCATGGATGAACCGAAGACGATTGAGGGAGAATACTACACTGTCAACCCAATGGCTATTCGCTCAGCCCTGGACGTGTATGGCGAGAACGTGCGCGTTGTAGTACCCATTGACTCTGTCGCCCATGGGCGTGTCATGGTCATCTGCATTGGTGCTATGATGGTAGGCAGCACCGTCATTACGCGCAAGAAGGGTGAGCACGTGAAGCGTGCCGAAGAGCTGGGGTACTTCAAATTCGGTGGAAGCACGTTGCTGGTTCTCTTTGAGCCAGGTCAGATGCGATACGACGAGGACCTCGTAGACAATTCGAACGCGGCTCTCGAGACTCTTGTAAGTCGCCGCCTCTTGCGATGAGTTCGCTTTACTAACTACGACAGATTCGCGTCGGCATGTCCATCGGCCATAGCCCCAACAGACCAGCTCATGTTCCCGACATGCGCAAGAACAACCCCACCAATGAAGAGAAGCAGGACGCGAAACGCCGCATTGAGGGCAGCTTTGCACCTCCGGGTGTGAAAGGACCCATGCCTGGAGCTGGGATGTAGAATAGTCCCCGTTGAAGTGCAAAAGAAATGGAATACACAAAAGGAAATGGGCAGGCTTGGATATTCAACATTGTTCTGGCGTGTCTGGAGTAACGTGGTCATGAAAGTATGAGAGCATATGGATTGGCGGCACGGGTAGTCGCTTGTTCTTGGGCGTTTTTGAGCGACTTTACCTTCGCTTCCTACGAAGACTTTATTTATATACATGCAGCGCAGCCGGTGCGGAGCCTACAAACCATCCTCATCTTCTGAACCTTGGCTTACTGCACCCAAGACCGAGTGAGAGCAGCCGAAGTGAGAGCGTTCGTTGGTGTGGGGAGCGCTAAAGGCTCACGTGAACGCGCTAGTCCCAAAACCATTGTTTTGATGATGCTGGCGGCAGGTGCACACACCAGCTTCCTTGCTCCCGTGTGACAACCGTTCCCCTCCACGCCCGACGCCTAAGGATATTCGCATTACCGCCAAATCATTACGAGCCCCGGATACCCAGGCACATACCTAATTGCACGCGTACCAGCCTCTCGCCGATCAGACATCTTGCGTAGCTCGCCCCGTCTGCGCTCGCCCGTTTGTCGCGCCAATGCACGCGCTTTGACCGAACTTCAACTCCCCGAAACTCCCGTGACGCAGCAACTGGACTCATGACTACCGTCTTCGCGCGCCCACCGCTCCAATCGCTTCCTATGGCAACAAACCGACCCACGACGCGACGAAGGAGCGCAAGACAAGCCTTCGACGACGATGATGCGCCCGCGCCGACGACCAAACGAGCAAAGGCGGACGTGAATGGGACGAGCAAAAAGGCGACTGCTGCGCCAAAGAAGACAGCAAAGGCAGCTGCATACGACGAGGACGATGATGGCTTCCAATTTTCGCGTCGCACGTCGTCGCGAAGGACTACCAAGGCACAGGCTGTGTTAGCACCAGAACCAATACCCGAGGACGAACCAGCAACATTCGCGCGCGCTGCCGAAGCGCAACCGGCCAAATCGACTGCGCGGCGGAAGAAACAGTCAATCGCGGCAGCCGATCCGGAATCCTCAGACTCGGGAAAGCGTCGGCGTTCAGCGCGCATATCTGGTGACAGTAGGCAGCTGGAAGTGCGACCAAAGTCTACGGAACCTCCTCCAGCGAAATCACGAACGAAGAAGACCGCGCCCGTAGAGAAGGAAAGGAAGAAGCAGACCACACCAGCTCCAGAGGCACAGCCAGAGCCTAAGAGCGCGTATGCAGGCGTGCAAACGCCGACACACAACAAGATCCAGGTCGCGAAGAAGCGCGATCCCAACGCTCAAAAGATTATGCTGCCCTTTGCGGACACCCCAGTTATTACGAGGAACAAAGAGATGCGGAAAGGCGGCAACAAAGATGGGTCGAGAAGGAGTAGCACAGGCTTGCGAGGGAGAAGGGCAAGCTCGCTGATTGACAGCGGCCAGTCGAATGGTGAGTCAAGCAATGATGCACAGGAGGGCTGGGCACAGGACCCTAACGGCATGGAAAAGCGCCCCTGGGGATCAGTGGATACTAACAATTCCGCAGCGCTACCGCACTCAGAAGTCGAAGTCCGAGATTTCTACAAATATATCGAGCAGAGCCTACCCGAACCACGACGGATGAAGCAGCTCTTGACATGGTGCGGATCGCGAGCTTTACCAGCAAAACCATCAGGCGACGTGAAGAACGCGAATGCGATTATGGCTGGTATGTCCAAACGAAGCAGGGCGGACAAGACGAAGACTGACAGGAGCGCAGCGCGAGCTATTCAACAAGAACTCATAGACGATTTCGCAAGCAAACCCGAGCTTTCCGACTGGTTCAGCAGGGTATGGGGATCAATTCCATCGAGGCAAGAGCATGAGCTAATAGCTTTACAGGAAGAAGTAGCCCCACCACCTGTGGTAAAGAAGCCGAATCCTCAGAACGAGAAGAACAAAGCCACACTGGAGGAATTGGAGGAGGAAGTCAAGCGGTACGTCACAGAATCTGCGTGTTCTTTATTTGCTCCATGCTAATAGCGAAGCAGCCTCGAAGAAGAGAAAGCCGCGTGGGAAGCCATCGCATCAGCGTCGAAAACCAAGCCCCCGCCACCCGCGCCCTCAATACCGACCTCAACACCTACACTATCCGACATCGACACGTCCCTCCTCGATCCCGCCCAAGCCGCCATACTTTCCTCCCTCCAGTCATCACAAATACAACCACCAACGTCAGCATTCACATTCACTTCGCCTACAGCACTACAATCACATCTCACGTCTCTCGCCGACTCGCTAGAACCGCATATCGACCTTTTCGCAGACGGTGTTCATAAGATCGAACAGTATCGCGCAACGGCCGAACGGGTAGCGGATCGTGTGCTGGGTACTGCGGCAAAGAGGTTGGAAGAGCGAGATCGGGAAGCGAAGGAAAGAGTGGGCACAGAAGGAATTGGAGTCGGCGATATATTGAGAGGCCTTGCTGGTGTACTTGGCGAGCAATGAGTATAAACATGCTGCACTCAATACCAGACAAAGTTGCCGGCAGGAACGGACAGGGATTCACAATCCGACCAGACACTCCTAGGAGGTCTTATGAGAATGATCTATGTGGCGCACTTTCTTTGACCCTTTTCACCTTGTTTTAGAAAGACACACCATTGACGCATCTTCGCATGGTGTTTACGGGCTTGGGAATGGACTGGGAGGATACGATATACCCTTCTGTTTTCTAGACTCTTTCGTGTAAATGTTTTCGAGAAGGAATAGCATCATACCCATTCTGAGCCACGCCAGGCAACTCATTCGGTCAAAGTAGTGCCCTTGAATACTCTTGAGATGTCATGATAGATCTCGATTCCAGGACCTTAGATCCAGCTTAGATCCTCCACATCTCTCTTCGTCTCTCCTTCAGTCACCCTCACTCAGCTCTTCACACACCACACAGCCAGCCTCCCAATCTCATCCTCCAGCCTCAACGCAAACCCCACTGAGATACGCAGGAACAGCAAGCGCTGCTCCAGATAACGAAGGACATCGAGACGGGTATCGACGAGCTGCTCCGGCGAGCGACCGAGCAGTTGGGTCCAGGCGGCGTCCGAGAGAATGAGCTTACCGCTGCTGATCTGGCCGGTTTCGTCGAGAAGGGGACCGAGCTGCAAGGGTCGGGGGTTAGTCAGAGAAGAAGATGAAGTAGGATATTGTAGGAACAGATATAGACGAGAACTGGGAGTACTTACTATCCTAGGATTGATTCTCAGTCCAACAACCTTCTCACACTGCTTACACACGACCTGTGTACTGTTGGCGAAGATGGGTATACCACAGCACTCATTACTCATGAGCATATTTCGTTTGAACGGCGTGACGATATTGAGTTCGGTGATGATGACGCTAAGGTACCCAGTGATAGTTTCTTTGGACCTTTTGCTCGACAGCGAGCGAGCGACATCATCTACATCCGCAAGTGTATACAGTGCTCTCACGGCTGCATTCTCGAAGCCCTCGACTACATCTTCGGCGATGGGGAACGGCGGGTTGACATGCTCTTTCTTCGTTAGTCTTTGTGCTAGGGCTCTTAAGCGCCGCGCATCACCCATGTCTGGGTCGATGTCCACACGTGAGTTGCCGCTGATTGTGAGCTTGGCCATCTTGTCGATGCGCCATCCGGGGTTCGAGATGAGGAGGACGGTTTCTGAGGGGACGAACAGAGAGGCTGAGTCGCACATGGAAGAGTATAGGGTGAGGAGCCCGTCGGATGTGTCGTCGAAGATACCGAGTGTTATGAGTTCAGAGGTTGTGCTGTTGCGGTTTATGTCTGTTGCAAGTCAGTCATGAATCATAATTGAAGATATCCGTAAAGAGGAGAAACACGCACATTTCTTCCGCGCGCCAATACTCTTCACGCATACCAGTAGTTTCGGCTCTTCGATATCATAACCACCATCAGTGAATGTCTTCAGCGTCATCAGCCCACTAAGCACTCTGTTGTCCCTCACACCATACGGCCTCTTGAACCTCGTCCCATCATCGCTGTTCTCATGCACCATGACATGGCAGTGTCTCTCACCTTCGGGGAATATCGTAGTGAACAGCGGCGCAGTATTCGGTGCTAGTGAGTTGTACTCTGAAGAGTTCGAGATATGCACCGTCCATACACTGAGTAGCTGCCCCAGCTTGAGCTTGTACTGGGTATTATTATACCAAAGGCGGACGGTGAGTACCCCGGTGTCGTCTGCGAGCAGAATTTTGATGCATCCTTGAGCTGCTTTGTGTGATTTGCTGGGTTTGGACTGGTCGTTGAAGTAGACGACGCGGCCCATGAGTGTGAGGTTGCAAGGACCAGGCTCAAGTGTGTCTAGGTCTGCTTCTTCGTAGTCGAGAGTGGGCTTTCGTACATTAGCGATGGATTGAGGTTCATCGAGGGAGATAAATTACAGCCCATGTACCTGCCGTGATCGCTCCTTCCGTAGCAGTGGATTGTACGTCCTCTGCTGTGAAGACATCACTGCTTTTCGTAGGCGAAGATGAGAAGTAAGACTGTATTGACGAAGACGCGGGCATTTTCTCGTTTGGCGCGAGTTGGAGGTATTGGTGTGGCAGTCTCTGAAGTAACTCATGAGGTGAGGATCGAAGCAGGAGCGTTCCTGCTGTTTGCGTAAGTGCGACCCACGTTGGAACCACGACAAGGAAGTCGCACCATCCACACCACAATCGGCTATATCTGTTATGTGCACATGCGTAGGCAATGAAGCGTATGGCCTGATCACCACTATTAGCTCACCGAAAACCGACAATGTTGCATATGCGTGCGGATTTCGTAAACAGATTTTTATTGCTTTAAAGAAAGTAGTGAGTTGGTCAAATCAAATCGTGAGTGACATGTGCTTCAAGAGCTCATGCACCGTCTGCCAGCTGGCACCATCAACATGCATGCCCGCCATCAGTTCATCCAGAGACCTAAAAGAGCTTGTGCTCCAAGGTCATGTCGTTCTCCGGCTCAAGTCCGACGCAGGCGCGGAAGATGTTGGTGAGAGCCGCACGCTGCTTGGCAAGAGCATTGACAACAGGGGTGCCAGGAGGAGTGAGAGGAGCCTTGAGCATGTAGCTGAGGACACTGAGCACGCTGTGGAAGTTGTTGAACTTGCCATCGCCGCCTTCGGCAGTGTGGGCCTTCCACTGGACACGAGTCATCATCTCAGCGACCAGAACCAAATCGATGATCAGAGGTGAAGCCAGGAGAGAGTCCTCGCAAACGTTGAACAGGCTGATGGTCTGGTGGCCGTCGAGGAAGATCTCGGCGTAGTACTCGTCAAGAGCGCGCTTGTCGTCTCCAACAGCAGGCATGTACTTGATGACGACGCAGTGGTCGGGGTGTTCGCCTTCCTTGTACAGGACATTGTTGGCAGCGACCATGTCGTCGACGACGTTGGACTTGGAGATCTCCTTGGAGCGGAACTGCTTCTGAGAGCTAAGGTTCATGCCGTCATTGTTGCCCAAGTGGTTGTAGGAGGCAATGGAGGTGAGCTTGATACCGGCGCTGATCATGAAGTCGACGAGGGCCGACTTCATCTTGGTCTGACCCGACTTGAAGTCATCACCACCAATGAAGGCATTGTGCTTCTCGGCAAGCTGGATAGCACCAGGAACGAATGTGTTCTGGGGAGAACCGTTGATGAAGGGAACACCCTCAAGAATGGAGGCTACAGCAAAGACAGTGGACGGGGAAACCTCTTCGTGACCAGATTCGATCGCTTTGAGTAGGTTGTCCGCCGTGTCGTTGACGCCCTCGACGATGTCGGCATAGCGCTCAGTGTTAGCAGTCCACTGCACAATAACCTTGTCGAGACCGTTGGCAGACTTGAAGTCACTACAATATCGTCAGTAAAAGTGGGATTGATATGCATCGAGTCTCGGCTCACCGGATGTCCTTGCGGATTTGCTCAACATGGGCATTGGAAGCCTTGGTACCTTCGAGAACATTGTCGGCACGCTCCTCCTGGTTGGCAGCAATGAAGTCCGGGTAGTAGATACTAGGAAGAGGCTTCATGGCGCTCATCTCCTTACGGACAAGGGACTTGAGGGATGGTGACAGAACCTTGGCGCGGTCCATGGCCTCAGCAAGGTTCATCCCGCTGATGTCCCATCCGCCAACGACGAGATCGTTGGGGTGGACCATAGGCAGGAGGTCATGGAATGGGATGTGAATCTCTTGACCAGTCTTGCTGTCGACACCGAGCTTGGTGGTAGATCCCATGATGACCGAACCATAGTAGTTAGCGCCACGCTTACCCTCCTTGGTCTCCCAAACGAGGTTACGCTTGTTCGCGATGATGCCGGCCGTGACCGTAGTACCGTTGTTGCCGCCCCAGCCAACCAGCATAACACCAGTCTTGGGGATCTTGCGGTCGACCTTGAAGTCGTAGAGCGTCTCCTTGGGGATAGCAACATACTTGCCGTCGTCGTTCTTGGTAACGTCGGTGGTACGGTAAGTGTACTTTGACTTGATGGTATCTTCGGTGTATTCTACGTTAGGAGAGCTGACGACAAAGAGATCCTTGGGAGTTGCCTTCGCTTCGAACCCATTCGCGTGACCGACGCGCTCGTCTGCGTGTGGTGCCATGATGATTTAAGTTCTTGTTGAGTTGGTGAACTTAGTTGCGGAAGTCTAAATCCGACGCTGCCCCAGAGGGAGAAGTGCGTCGGCCGGCGAATGGGTTGTGGATCCTGTCAAGTGTAAGTAAAGGCAGTCCCCATGGGGTTATGGCGGGGCACATACGAGCTGAGGAGATTGGAAAACGTCTTGACAGCTGGGCAATGGCCCGGGGAAATCTGGGTGTGGTTGATAGAAGGGAGAGAGATTGTAAGTTCGACAGTTGGCTGTTGTTTACAATCGGTGGTGTGCGGTGGGGTGAGAAACGAGGGTGAGAAGTCGCGATATAAATGCCTCCCGTGTCCGGCTGACTTAGCAATAATCGTACGCAATCGCTCCCGCTTCCTGCCGGACAGCGTGTTCACCCACCGCTTCTTTGCCTGTACCTTCCATACTCCCCACTTTTCATGCTAATGACTATCGCCGTAGCCGTCTTCGGGACGTACAACACCAATGGCGCGTGGCCGTGGTATTCGCGATGCTCGCCTTGCCCCACTATTTCCCTCACTACCTCAACAAGCAGCAGCGACAACCGCAGTAGGGAAGGTGACGATGTAAGCGACGCGACGAGAGCGCTCTGTTGGCATTAAGCGAAGGCACATTGCATGGACAGCTGTCTCTGCATGCTCGAGTGTACCGCTGTGGGAACTGTTTATTCCTCCTATGAGCTACATACTGGGCAGGTGTGTAGCTAGTGCTGGAGTACCTAGGTACGGGTACGGAGGTACGGACCCCGCCATCACGTGCACAACACTACGGAGAGGGGATCTCGGGAGCCGGGTGTCGATGTGTAAGAGTTTTCGGGCATATGGGAATTGGCCTGGCGCCAGAATGGCAAGCATGGCATTTGGACGGTGTCTGAGCCACGGACTGTTTCAAAGCACGGTGATGTCGTCAGTCAAGCACTGTGGTAGCACTCGACACGCTGTGTGCGTCAGACATGTTTACGGAACGAAAAAAAGGCACGCGACACGATCCGCAGCGTGTTTTTGTGTGGAGTCTCGGCGATGCAAGACGGCTACTGTTGACAGTGACAGATGCTGCTTGCTGGCAAAGTGTCTACACGAAACCAGTGTTGACATTATTTTCTTGATGTTATTAGCCGCGATGGCCAGCAACATGGGGGAGACCCTGGGGTCGGCTGGGAGAACGACGAATGCGGCAACCTGCATGGGAAGTTTGCTGATCGACAATCAGCCTCGCCGTTCGCCAAGGGAACCATGTTAGGCCACCATGCTGCATGCAGACGGAGACAGGCACGCAGGGAGATGGGTCTCCCCAGGGCAGCAGTTGGCGCAACGGCATGCGAGCAGTTCGAAACTTCCAGCACCTGCGACATGTCAAGCACTGTGTGTCGCGGGCCACGCCGACGTGAGAACATGGCTGATGGGAACATTGCGGACGAGAAACTGTTGACGTAGCGAAAGGGGCGCTTAGTTATGGATAATTTGTATCTGCAGCGTCGATCGACCAACGAGAACGATGCCGCGTGTGGCCAATCAAGCCCGAGAGTAATGTCCGGCCCTGGTGGCTGACCAGCGCATGGGCAGCAGGCGACCAGAGCCTCAAGCCACCTGCTCGTCGCTGCAGGACTTGGCTATACACGGTGCACGCATCTGGCAAACGTTGTTGCCGCGATTTGCGACCTCCTGGAGCTTGCGAACTCTGTTGGTCTTGGGTCGCAACCGTGACATCGTCACTGCGACGGTGCTGGGTCCGAGACTTTACGCCAGCGACTATGGTTTCATCGCAGCCGGCCGCCTCTGGTGCGTGCAACTGACACGGAGAGGACCACACGATGTGCCCATGCCCAGGTAGCTAGGTACAGGCCGCCGTCCCGTGCACATGGCCATCGAATCATGGAGGCCGCCGTGCTCGACCACTGACGCCGCATCTCAGGGACGCGCGAGTTACGTGCAGGAGACACAAAGACGCGCAGAAGGGGGCGCGTCGTCCCTTGCGACTGGCTGGCGATTGGGTGTTCATCTCTAATGCCGATCAGCCCTGTTGTGCTCAGCGGGCTGTGGGTGGCCGGCGCTCAGACGCGGTCATTATCTATCTCATGAGGATAATTCATTAGCATCAAATACCCAACATTGCGCGTGTCGATTGTGGGGCCCAGCAGCCTCTTAGACCGCAGGACGCAGCGAGGCTAGCCATTATCCCGCTGCCGTCCCTGGCTGCTAGCCACTTCAGAACGACGCCCGCATGTGCTTCCCCTGATTCAGCAAGGCCCACCCACACCGTTTCTGAGGATCCAACAACCCTGCACCTTTGTTTCTCGGCGCTCCCGCCCATCATCCGTCCTCGACCACCTTGCCTACCTTGCCTGCTCCCACTCCGTGCCACCATCTTCGAGATAGCCTTACGACGATATTCCGCTGGACGTGAACGGCCTTAATACTGAATGTCCAGGCACGAACCGCCTCGGACTCCCTCTCTGAACCAGCTCTGGACACGCGCCCAACATGGAACGAATGAGCACGCTTCCGACTATCAAGTGTTCATCCTGCGCGGTGGACATTGACATCCTCCATTTAGCCGACCATGTCTGCGCTGCAGCACCCCCAGCGGGTGAGTACGCCACGAATGCACACTATAACACACACTCATCAGTTGCAGCAACGCCCGCTCCTGAGCCAATGTCGCCCACCTCGACCATCTCTATGGGTTCCCCGCCCTCGATACTGTCGCCCAAGATGAACCGCGCAGCAACCTTTGGCGGTCCCACGTTCAGCAACCGCTCGGAACGTCCAGCGCAATCGGGTCGCATGCCTCCTCCGCCCAGGATTGATTCAAATGCAGCGAGTAAGCATCCAGAATGGTGAACCAACTTCAGTAGTAGACATCGTGCTGACCTGTTTAGACAAACCATTTCGGCCACTGGAACCATCGCCAATGAGCAACCAAG